AGGTCCAAACAGGCAAAAGAAACCTTTAGGGACTTCAAAACTAAGAAATTATGCACATGAACACACACATTGATGGTGGAGGGGTGGCCTCAGGTCACCAAATAAATCTCTGACACTCAGATGGAAAGGTGAGGTGGGCCCAGTAAATACGAGGCCACGTGTGTGTGTGTGTGTGTGTGTGTGTGTGTGTGTGTGTGTGTGTGTGTGTGTGTGTGTGTGTGTGTGTGTGTGTGTGTGTGTGTGTGTGTGTGTGTGTGCGTGTGTGTGCGTGTGTGTGTGTGTGTGTGTGTGTGTGTGTGCGTGTGTGTGTTTGACCGCAGATGCAGGTGGATGGAGCTGCAGAGTGGTTAACGGTGGGCTCTGGCAGCGCTACTCAAACTCACAACAACACTGAAGCCTCTCAGCGTTTAGAGGAGCGGTTTGTAAAAAGGTAGATGAATTTGTTCTGCAAATTGACTTAGGTACTGACCAAGAAATACTTGGAGTGTTCGCACAGCAGGGAGCTTTGATTTGAAAACCACTACAGCCTTCGTCAACACTGGGATGAAGGCTGATGGCAGCACCTCATGATGGTTTTTACTGATCTCTGCACGGCACAAGTTACTCTGAAAGCCATGACAATATCTCACCTGGTGTGGATAGCTCTTTGAATAACCTCAGTTTGGTGAAACAGAGTTCATTCTAATTGGACCGACAAGCTAACGGCTAGTTCAAACAGGGCAACAGTCAAAGGGAATTTTTGCCACCTTAAAACAACTATCTCAAAAATGATCAGATACCTTTTAAAAAATATCTTCGACCACTTGTGGAACGTAAAGAAGAACAGAAGTCTAACTGCAAATCCAAGTCAAGACTCATGTCTTTAACATACAAGTCCAGATTAAATCTAGTGAACTTGTTGGTCAAGTCTAATCCACAAGAGCCAAACTGAAATTGTTTACATCTGCTGGATCTAATGCGTCGCCACTGTTAGCTCGGACGAACCCCAGGTTCAGTACATACTTTAAAGGTGCAATATGTACGATGGAAATAAGAATAACATCCTGTGGCACAATTTGGGTACTGCAGTCCATTTTTATAAACAAAACGTCATATTCATATTAAATATCCTATTCTAGGTCCCACCCATTTAACAAGTTGGCCATTTCCTATTGGGTCGGTTTATGCAAAAGACCAGACTCTTTCTACTGGTAAACACGTGAGTCCCACCGGTATGTATGCCTAATCTGATTGTGGGGGAACAAACATTTCTATCCTCATTACAACGGACAGATTTTCTTCAGTCTGATAGAAAGTTGATGGTCAACTGTAGTGACCCAGTTCAGCCTAAATTCAAGTCAAATCCAAAATCCAGGTTGAGCCTACAGTCTTTGAGGGCCATTTTTTGAGTCTTTCAGAGTCAAGTCAATCTCGAGTCTTTAAGTGAGACTCGTGTTGAATGAAATAAATCGACTTCTGTCTTCACCACACTTGAATTAGATCATCCATTAAGCCAGAATGTAATCCACTAACTTAAGACGGAGGTCACTCAGGCTAATTTAGGGATTACTCGTTATACTTTTTAAAAGAACCAAACTACCCCTTTTACCCCAAATGCCAAGATTATCTTTGGCCTAACCAGAGCCTCCACCAACATGCATTCAAGATTTTTCACACTCCCAACTCATTTGGGAATGCCTGGTCTAACTCGGACTGGCATAGCTGCGGTCACAGGACCCCATTTGGACCTGACAGTCCTCGCTGACATCCCTGGCATCTTTGGCTTCTAAAATGACCAGCTGTCCCTGCCCGGCTGCATCTTTCAAATCCCTGTAACTAAGAAATAAACAAACAGTAAACAAAGGGGCCTAGTTTAGCTCCACTAGCCACCGCGGCATGACGACAGGTTGGTCCCTCTCACTGAACTCCAGCTTTGTCCAACTTGTCTCAAGAGCAGCAACGTTAGTCAGAGCAGCAATAAAGAGACTTGTGCAGCTGGTTGATGAAGGAAAAGTTTATGTGGCTTTGCTAAAGCTGGAGTTCTGCTTTAAGTGTCCATTTCTTCTCGATTCTTGTTTCCCTAATCTGCGGATATCTGCTTGCCAAATGTACAAAGTCCCCAAACTTGAGACCCATCAAGCACTAAAAGAACACAGGCCTATTAATAGACTTCCTGCTCCTAAAGAGAGACGTAGCTCATGTGGATGTGGATCGGGTTTATTTGGAAGGGGGGGAGTTTGATACGCATGTAATACAATATTAGTTCAATTGTGATGCATTGTCAGAGGCCCCCGCTATGGAAATCTGCATGAAATCACTGTCTGGGCAAGGTCGTAAATCACACATGGCATTGTTTGTTGTTATAGTAGAGTTTAATGTGGGGAGGGGGGAGGGGGGGCACTTTGTTTGGGACGTCATGGGGAGGACCTGCGAGGTAATCAGGCTCCCACAATGCAGCTCTGAAATTGAGTCAAACCCGGAAGTGAAATAAATTGCAGTTCCACCCTCATCCACTAGGGGCTGGTGTCAGAAGCGAGCAAATCCTCATTGACTCCCATGTTAAAAATACCAATTTCACAGCAGAAATAAACATGCTTACAGCCTGGTTCCAAAGCATGTTTTTTGTTTAAATGATCTAGTTTACACTCATGACAACTCTGAGGGGGGTGAATTTTTTTTCTCACTCTTCTGTTTAAGTGTATTTAAAGCCTAAAATTCTGTATAATTAATGAGCATCAGACCCACGTGACCACAGAGCTAGCTCCGTGGAAAGGCCTCAGTAGAGCCTCGGTCTGGCTTGGAAACTGTTCCGGGATTTTGAGTCTCTGTGTTTGTGAATTCTTGTTTGGATATTTTTTGTGCAATTGTTGGACAAAATGACTTGCTGTGGCATTAATTGCACTAATAGAGCATCCAAGGAGTCTCCACTTCATTTTTTTCAGTAAGTAAAATTATATTTATGTATTTTAGGTCGCTGCCGAGCTAAGCTTAGATTTTAACATGTACTAACCATGAAATTTAAATGTAATAGGGTAAACCCAGTGCATTTAACTAAATGCTGCACTTTAGAAAATGGGTTGAAATATAACATGTTGGTGGAGCTGGGTTCCCACTATCGGCTTGTGGAGCTCTCGGGAGACCGATGTTTTCCACCCTCATCCCCTCCCCGCAGCCCGGTCCATCTCTGTCTGATCGCGGCTTCTGTTTGCTGCTCGCGGGCTGACGGCTGGTTCTCCCAGCAGCTCGGCACATCTGTCTGATCGCGGCTTCTGTTAGCTGCGCGGGCTGACGGCTGGTTCTACGGCAAGCCAGAACCGCCAAAATACGCCACTTCTCCCTGCAGCTCGGCGCATCTCTGTCTGATCGCGACTTCTGTCTGCTGCGCGGGCTGCCGGCTTGTGGAGCTCTGGGATGGAAACCTTTCCATCCGGTTCTCCCCAGCGGCAGCTCTGCACATCTCAGATCGCAGCGGCACTTGTCTGCTGTGCGGCTGCCGGCTTGTGGAGCTCTCGGAGACCTCTGTGTTCCACCCGGTTTTACCCAGTGGTCAGCCCGGCGTATCTCTGACTCGGAAGCTCTGCTGTTGTGCACAGTTAACTCCGGTTGTAGCTAGGTTGCTACCTTCGTTAGCTTAGCTCCCACCTCCGCATTAGCTTTGGGTTAGCTTCAGGTTAGCTTGTAGCTAGTTCGACCGGGTGTCGTCAGTCGATCCCAGCCTTACAGCCCCACCCTCAGCTCCACCTCTCTTCCCTTTTGTGGAATTGTCTGGGCTTGACGGAACCTGTGACACGGTCAAAATGGCGGTGGTGGCCACCTCCCATTTTAGCACAAAAACTTGTTATTGGAGTTTATGGAAACCCATTGTCCATATATTTATGTCGATGGAGGTAATGGACCCTCCTATAGGGGTTCTTGTTTGGACCATGTTTGAAGATCAGGGGAGAACAAACTCAAGCAGAAGATGTGTCTGATAGTAAATCTCAGCAACAATCCCAGTTACAACAGAAGACAAGTAAATGAGACAAACAGAGCTAATGTACCTGCCGTCTGTTCAGCACGAACAGCCAGAGCCAATGACTGGCTGGCGTGCATCGACACCCACTCCTTCTTTCACAAAATGTCTGGTCTGGTCTTGTCTGACTACTTCTGCCAAGCATCGGGAAAACTTATCAAAGGGAACAGACCAACACATTCAGCTGTTCAGAAGAAGGAAAATATCGTTAAAGGTTACCGTGGTGATGAGTCCTGATGTTCAGGTGAAATAACCTTCATCCTGGCCATCATTCATGTATCATACATAAATTATTGTTAGAAAATTGGCTAGTTTTGGCTATTTTTAAGTTAGTTTATGTGTAAAAGTCAGTTTTACCATATTCATATGTAGCATAAAGCTTTGTGAAGGGGTCTCTTGGAGAAACATCCTGCTAGTCTGACCTGACGTGAGGGTATCTGTGCCACCTTAAAACATCTCCAGTCTCCAAAATGTAAGAAAACTTCATGCAAATGTTACTTGAATACAACTAAAAGTGGCACTTTTGAGTCAGTTAGGAATCAGATTAGCCAGAATTTTTCTTAATTTTCTTCAGAAATAGTTCTATAAAGGAAAAATGTAGTTTTAAATGAACCATTAAGATTAGATAAGTTAACTCAAGTCTAATTTAAGGATGCTGTCTTCAATATATCTGCATCCTTTATCTAGTAATACATGCAATAAAATTCATAAAATCGTTTTAGTAAATAAATGCATGCATATGAATTTGCTATCATTGCAAAGGAATTAATAAATAAATGCAACTTGCAGAGATTTTAGCATAAAACAAAAAACTCTGCTATTTAGAAGTTTAAATGTACCATCAAAGTAGAGTTCAAAGACATTATTGACATATCAGCAGCATCTGAGTCCTTTTGGACAACAGAGATGCAGTTCCAACCCTAACCCTCACCAACAAAAGCATAAATGCAACTTCAGGTTCTCCAAAAATACTATGAAAAAATAAAAACAACACCTGAGCGCAACAAGCAACAGTTCACAAATCAGTTTTATTAATTTAAACACAATCAAATAATAATGTCAAAAACATCTGTACACATATTTTGCAGACACATCTTTTTGCGTTTTCACAATGAGGCCCATGAAGTGTAAATTATTTCCAGTTTGCATTTATGATGCAACAAAATAATCATAAAAAAGGCGTGCCTTATGAATCTATAAAACATTTCCCCTACTGACCTTAAGCCTGATTTATACTTCTCCGCCTGCGCCGGAGCGGAGACGAGCAACGCTATTATGCGTCAGCGCAAAGGCTCTCCCGACAGCCTCGCAGAGGGTGATGGAGACATGCCCAAAATTTTAAACATGAAGGTGACAAGAGACTGCAAGCTTGTGATTGGTCAGGACGCCGCTTCCTGTAAATTCATCACCGCAGTTGTACCATTAAAAAGTAGAACGAGATTTAGCGGCAGACTAAGAACAGGTTGAAGAAGGCATCGTGGAAAAAGTTCAAAAATTTGAACGTTTATTCACCCGCGACTGAACGAGTACAAATTACGTAGCCAACGTGGACGGAAATGACGGGAAATGTCATGCACCGCATGAAGAGTTGGAGAATGAAGACTAAACACATTAGCAAATACACTATTGTGGACCGGATACATGAGCGTTATGGTGGCAGGATACCACAGAAAAGCACTACGCCCTCTGTTGTCCAGGCGGGGAATTGCTTTGCAACGCTCCGCTGCCTTCGCAGAAGTTCGCGTGTGAAAACCTTTCTGACACTCTATGTGTGCGTCTCCGACGCAGAGCTCTCGGAGACGTATAAATCAGGCATTACCTTGATCTAGCAGCAACATGTAGAGAACCCCGGAGAGAGGGGGATGTTGACTCTGTTAGAGAAGACAGGGGCTTGAACTGGAGCGCAATGGCCGACAGCGGTCATGTACAGGGGAGGGGGGTGAAGGTTAGAAACGAGTCGGTTCCTGTTTAAGAAATTCACAGTTGATAGCACAAATGTCCTGTAAGTTCACAAACCCCTCGACGTTTAGTGGCTTTGCTCTCGCTGCTTGTCATGGAGTCTCCGCTGAAAATAAAAACACGACATCATACAAAATTACGCTTGGTGTACAAGTTCTTTTTATAGTGCTCGTATGAAAGATAATAAAACCTATCCAAGCTCGTTTTTTAAATATCAGATTTATCCAAATTCATGATAGAGGGAGCTGCCCCGTTCTGAAAGTCTTATCAGATTTATGCTTGCCTCCGAACACACGGGGTCAGAGCTGCAGGCTGCTGAAATGCCACGAGGACGGAGAGTAGAAAGAAAAAACCCGGTTACTTAATACAAAGATGTGACAGAATTTTACTGAGGAAACCAGGTCCTTGACACTCGACATCCGTGCTTTTGGTCTTGAGAAAATGATCACGAAATCCAGATTTCTACACATTTGTTTAATTAAACTCAGCTTTTGTGATGCTGTACTTCAATGAAAAAAGCAATGCCTCCTTTCAAGAGCAAATGATTATAGGAAGGAATAGTCCAGTGATTACAAACTTACACACACACACAGTAAAAGATTTCCTCTGTACACGATTGTCTCAGCTTCGTAAATAGTTTTTTTTGTTCATTTTCTTAAATTATTAGAAAAAAAATCCTTTTTTATTCCTGCGTCCTCCGTAGAGGCCTTCCTCTTGCTGCGGTGGAAATCAACAGTACTTGGTAAAAGGCACGAGTCTTTTTGTCGTGGGGGTACCTTCTCCGCGGCGCGCTCACAGAGTGTTCGTTCATAAATAAGAAGCACGGGACGTCCACTGTCCCGCCGAGGGGGGGCTTTAGAAGCAGGTAAAGGTGGAGCAGGAGAGGGGTAGGGAGGTGTTTGCTGAGTTCTGTGGCGAGGAAGGCGAGGTCGTCGGTAGCTCTGCTCCCCTCCGAGGTGTGAACCCTGACAGAGTCCCGGCATGAGCAAGTGAAGGGGCTGTTGGGTGTGTGTGTGTGTGTGTGTGTGTGTGTGTGTGTGTGTGTGTGTGTGTGTGTGTGTGTGTGTGTGTGTGTGTGTGTGTGTGGTAAAACACGTCGACAGCTTCAGAAAGCAGCCGATTCACAGTAATCAGGGCAAGCAGCTGCTGCGCCGTAAATTCCCCTCTCTCCTTCGCTTCGCAGGAGAGGAAAAAGTTTAGGTTTAAGACGACGTGCGACAGTATGTCAGCACATTAACCGCCTGCTTCTTTGTTCCACTCTCCTCTTCTTCGTTTTTGTAGTGAAAGACACATGCCAGGCAGTACGGGGGCGAGCCGCAGGAGGAGAGGGAGGTGGGAGGGCAAGCAGGCCTGGAGGGTGAAGGTGAAAGGTTGTTTGATGTGCTGAGGCGCAGAGGGGTGTAGGACGGCGACGTAGTGCTACAAGTACTCCAGGTCCAGAGCATGGTGGAGGGCCATGAGGTCTGAGTGGCTGGAAATCCTCCAGAAGGGCATGTTGTGCTGTGGAGCAACAGAAATAGCGATTTAGGGCTAAATCTGAATAAATAACAGTGTTACAGACACACAAATATGCTTTCTAAGTTTAAATCCAAGCTACAACAAATTTCAAGTAGAAGTCCTCCAGTAAACAAAATAACTGTGGTAGAGACCGCTGATGTTGGCTTTTATTAAAGTTACCATAGATGTTCGGATTCAGGCACAAACAACCGTTTCTGGCAAAACCGCAGCAAGGAAATGAACAAAACGGGCTTTTTTGTTTACAGTTGGATCACATGGAGTCAAATAAATAACAAAAAGATGGTCATTTCTAAATAAATCCTCCATCTTTATTTGTTACAGATGAATATAAATGTAAAAGGGAGCCGAGGTCACGCTCATCTACTTCCGGATCACGGGTCCCCAGAAGAACAAAAAAATGAATGCAAGTCAATGTGGCTAGAAAAGCCATGGGTTTCACCTGACGTCCGACTCTGATGCCAACAAGTGCTTGCTTTTGAATACGGGAATGTGTGAAAATACACGTAGGACTACAAATGCGCATCACCAGATTGACGTCACTGAACCAGACACAGAGAAGAACAGGGGTGTAAGTTCAGCGAACTTTGAATCCTCCCTTCAGGAGCAAAGAACCACCATAAATCTGGCCGTGTGGTAAGTAGCCAATAGTAAAACAAGATAAAATGTCTAACAAAAGGTTGCTTTACTTTTCTTAAAAATCAATTTTTGCCTCGTGTGATCTGTGAGAATTGGTACATTTTATACATGATAAAAAGCAAATAAGTATATGAAATACCGCGAGCAAGGTTTTCCTAAGCTTAAAAAACTTTCTATTAGATTTCAGTCTTCTTAGTGCATTCAATAAACGGATACCTGGGAATTTCACCAGGAAAAGCAATCGTTTCGATAATGCACGTTTCGTCGACGTGTTCACACACTTTTAGCTCTAAAGTGCGTTTTCATAACTCCAAACTGATCCAGGAGCAGTTAATAGTCGTTCTGAATGGGTGTGTGTTTTTAGCACAGTGCAAAGGAGCTGCCAGGTTAAAAAAAAAAAAGGATGGAGGAGAAACCCGAGTCGCAGAGAATGAAAGGAGCTTGTCAGGTGGAGTTCTCGGCTCTTCAGTATGTGGAGCCCATTTACCCCCCCCCCCCCCCCCCCCCCCCCCCATCAAAGGTATTGCCTCTCCCAGGCATATGTTCCGCTTAGGAGAGCCTGCACTGACCCTTAAAAAGCTCTTTGCTTTTTGTTTTGTAAATCGTCTTTGCTTTTAAGTTTAAAAGCAGGAGATGTTATCTCTGCCTCGTCTCCCGGGCGACGGTGATAACTGAAGACAGAACTGTGTCGAGGGGGATTTCGGACCTTTTCAGACATTTGCTTTTGTGGTTCCACGCGGCGTCGCGTCCGATACGCACCTCCCGACGGGTGAAGTCGTGGTGTGTTGACACAGAAACCATTCACTCCATCAATGTCAAGTGAAAATGACTGCATCTATTTCAACCACCGTCCCTGAAGAGCACATTCCCCGGATGTGTGGCTATTGCACTAACTTTTATCTGGGGCAAAACTTGTTCCCCCTCTCTAATCAGTCCTCAGTTGTCCTCCAGCGTCCAGTCGGAGTGTACTGACGGGTGAAAATGTAAAAGGAAGGACAAGTGGCTCGCTGAAACTGTAAGGAAGATGTGCTCTAGAGCTGTGCAGGTAACACACACACACACAGGTCAGGATCTTAGACGTTGAGCTGTTTCTCCATGCTAACAAGCCTTCCGCTGCAGTAGATTTTCCAATTTGATCAAGAATGATTTAGGTCTTCTTTATGCGACATGCCTGAAAGGGCTGGTCTAGCATTACACACGCAGCGTTCACACTGCTCAGAGCACCAAGCAGGAATATATAATTATGCCATCTCCCTCCTCCCCTGCTCTGTGAACCTGAGACGGAGGAGGAAGCACACTGATTACACGCTACACACTCTCTCTTGTACTCAGATGCATTATGACAGGATGAAAGCAAAGTGAGATTGTTGATGGGAGCTGAAGTGCTAATTACTTTCTTTCTGCAATGGTACAGCTGTTCTCTTGACCTCATGAAAAAGAATAATAATAATAATAATAATAAAGCTGCTGTTGGGCGAGCTGGATTTGGTGCCTCTCACCTTTTTCGAGCCCTGCTCCTCTTCCACACCGTCTCCAACAACAATGTAAACAACTTTCCTCCCGAACCTTTGAATTACTCTCTCAAAACAGCTTTCCTTCCCTGTGAAACAGTAAAAAGCAGGATGTTAGAGTGATGCACACCTGAAATGACAAAAGGCAGAATGTGAACTGAGTTAGGGGGGAAAACATTTAAAGTTACTTAAAAGGGACATATTATGACTTTTTTCTCGTTATAATAGTGATATGGTTGATGCAAAACATGTTCCCAAAGCTCTTTGCATGAATTCGGCATTTGTATTCTTGACATTTTCAGTACCTTCCAAAATGAGCCGTTTCAGGGCTCTAAGAAGTTGGACCTGGCCACACCCACCCATCCCCTGCTCAGGCTGCTATAAGCTCAGAAGCTCCGACATCTGGGAGGGGCTTAGAGTAGAGCCGCTAGTAGAGCAGCAGCTCTATTTTACAAATGAGAGGTGTTTCTGTTCTATTCTAATTTTCCTATTTGTGACATCACAAATGGGATCTTTTTCAAACAGCTTGTTTTAGGCAAATAATTCCTAAAACCAAACCCTGACAGAAAACGGATGGACGTTGTTTTTCCCAGTTTGGAGTGTCTCTAGAGGCAGTAGAGATCCACATGGCAGCACAAAAGGATGCAAACGGTGAGATTTTCTTTATGTGTCTCCTTTGAATCTAAAACAAACAGACTTTCGCATGTTACAGGGTCGGTTTCATCATGAGAGAGCTCAAAGTCAGCTCCGATTGGCATGGAAATGTTGCAACAGCGAAGCTGGATGTTTATTTTGCATTTGAAACGTGAAAATGAGGGGGTGGGGTGCTTCTGTTCCTCTGGAATGACATAAATGTGCAGAAGTGGTTTCATATGCAAGAGGCGAGGAGCAGAAGGCCTGTGGAGGCCCATCGCAGGTCCTGCTCCAAGAAAATAATCCCAGGTTGATTAGGTCTATTCCCTCACAGAGGAACATCAACCCTCTCCGGTGACCAACCACCCCCCTCCCCCATGATTCCCACCCAGCCTCAGCCACAGTCCTGTCACTGAGGTCCTAACAGTTTATCCTCACCATGCCGGCAAAACAAAAGAGAAACAAATCACGAGTGTCAGACAAAAAAAAGCACCGTTACCTATTTTGGTTGCACTATAAATATTCTCTATAGGAAAGACGGTTCCCAAGCCATAGAGCAGAACCTTTGCCAGAGCGGGGATGAGCTGCGTGGTGGTCACCAGGATGTTCACACAGTTGGACCTGAGGAGAAGAGCAAAGAGCATCATCCTAAATCACTCCAAGGGAGGACAAGAGAAAACCGCGTACACACACAGCGATGCACGAGTTCTGTAAAAACATGTCCAACAGTGAAATATTGGCTCGTTTTTCAAGTCGGATCATTTACCCGTCTTATTTGTCAAAATTAGAGGAAGCAGGCTGTACAAACGACAAATACACAACCTGGTTTCTTTATTTAGGAGCTAAGAAAGGATTTATTGACTCCACATAGAGGTTTATAAATGTGCAGTGAGGGACTGGGTACGGTTTTCCTACCTTGAGTGGATGAGCGTTAGTGCTTTCAGTGCCAGTGTTAACCAGGAGTCTGTCAAGGCTTCGATTTCTGCTCGCAATTGCAACCAGGCTTCCCTTTTGGCTGGGCCCAGCAGACCTGAAGCGCAGGGGTACATTGTTTGGATTGGCCCAGCTTCCCCAATACCTCTGATATTTTTCAAAACTTGCCCGAGCTTCAGACACAATCAGGGCACACAGACACAGCGGTTTGAGAGCAGAGCTGCTTTGTTGGGGATTACCTCCGACGTTATTTTTGTAGGTGGTGTAGATTTCTTTTACTCGTCTGTAGCGGAAGGCCAGTTTTCTCATCCAGTCCACGCCTCCGCGCACGCCGGTGGCCAGACACAGGTTGGCACTAGTGGCTGCTGCGTGGAAACCATCAGCGCCGAAGTTATACGTACTAAAACAGACACACATAGGATCTGTCACCACAAGCTGCTTCCACATTAAGATGTTTTGTTTTGATCAATTGTCCAGCTAATCTTGTGTACCTCAAATCCTGGCCGTTGTCGTCAGAAGAGACATCATCAATGTGCACCTGGTCACATTCCTGAAAACAGACAAAACATTCACTCTCAAAGAAACGGTGCAACTTTTCCGATGTTTTTCCCCTTTTCGTAGAAAATGTTGACAAGAAACAACATCTCATAGAAGACCTTGATCTTTGTCTCTTATTTTTCTCCTTTCAAGCCCCTTTGGATATCCCAAACAAACTGAATAACCCCAAAATTCCACTACCTCTGCTCCGCTCCGGTCCGCCCCCGCCTTCCGCAGCTGCTCGCTTCCGAACTTAGTTTTTACTGGTACCCGCTCTACAACGGCTCCGCTCCGGTGCGGAGACCTGAGGTTCGCAAACAGGCATGCGCGGGATTTTCGAGATCTTGCGATACAGTCCGAGCAGTAAACGCGGAAGTTAGATCCAAACACCCGTTGTGTGGGAGAAGCATTGAAATGAACTGTTTAATCTGCCCATCAGTTGTATTGAGAGATCAGCAGTGTTTGGATCAACAACAACTACTTTGATAGTGGAAACTGTATTTATGGCTTACTTTTGTGCATTTAAAGTTCAGCCGCCATTGATAGTTGTTAAAAGTTGTTAAACCTGTGCATATGAAACAAAAAACACTTTTTGTTTATCGATTTATTGTGAAATAACAGAAGTTGTGCTTGCTCCCTTTCCTGTTGGGCGGTTGTGATTTCTGTCCGTTGACTGCGGAGGTGCTCCGGCGTCCCGCAAAAATAGAATCGATCCTATTTTTGCTGGATGGCGGAACGGCGGGCAGCGCACTGCGCCGCACGGCCGCAGTAGTGGCACAACTCTGACTGACTACAACGGGACCGATTTTGCTGCGGAGTTCGTGCCGGAGCGGAGCGGAGGTAGTGGAATTTTGGGGTAAAGCCTTTTATAAAAGGATAGATTTCAGGAAAGGCTTATTTCCAAAATGAAGGGAAGTCTAACAGCCACAGTGAAGTGTTTTTAAAATGAACAATTTTTCACCATCTGAAAAAATTCTATCTCATAAATTTAAACAACGCCAGCAAATGATATAATGTTGATTTTTACAGCGCAGCACATCGGCATGGACACTTGTTTTCTTTGGAAATAGTAGGTGCGTGCAAATAACCTAAATAAAGGTACAAACAAACGTCTACACTCTTGGTACTTGATGATTATTGATTAAAGTGTAAAATAACTCAAGAATAAGAATGTTTTACTAGCTCAAATCAATCAGAAATGCAAAATAAATAAATAAAACACAAACTGAACCAAATCGATGTCTGGAGTGCTTTATCATTGGTTCTCTGTTCCTTTGAAGAAATTCTGCAGGAAGTTTCAAACATTTTTGGAGAACTAAAAGATTATGAACACAAAATTTTGAGCCCTAGTCTCAGTCTTGATGACGTAGCTAGCCTGTACTCTAAAAATGTAAATGTTGACTTTACTTTATCAAGTTATGCCAACTAGTCGGAGGAGAGGGCGGCAGAAAAGGACAGGACTCTTTTGGATTCTTACTCACCTCGCCTCTGATTGGCTAACAGCATCATAACTCTACCACTGACTCTGTTTGATCGGCAGCACTGATGTTTCTTCTCCACAAACAACACAAGCCTGAAGGAGCATGAAGGAGTTCTGCCATTTTATAGAGTTGCTAATGCTAACTGTTAGCTTCTACTAGCCAAGATGTCCTCCACGTTTCAGAATCTATTTTCTATTGATAGCTAATGCAGGAAATTGGGGTAGAAGACTTCTTTACGTTCAACGTGCATGTGATACTCGCTGACTGAGCAGTTTTAAAAAATGAAAAGTAAAAAATGGTTTCTTAGTGAACTTTGTCTTTAACTGTGAAGAGTAATATTCATTGACGTTACAATGTATACCAGCCTTTACATTAAAGGCACACCTGGCAGTTTTGGCTAGCTTTTAGCACCCCCTAGTGTTGGTTAATCAAAACATATTTGCTCGTTGTGCGTTCATCTTTTTACCACTTTAATCCAACAGCTGAAACGTCTCCTCAGCTTTCATTAGTGTCTACAGGGGTAAACAAATCAGCTGTGTTCATGATCTAAAACATGCAGGAAATGTAGCTTATCCAATCTTTCTTTCTTTCTTATCCAACAGGTGGCGCCCACCAGTCTAAAGTTGCAAGAGAGACATTCAGGCCACAGTGAGCGGTGGGGGTCTGAGTGACTTTTCGTTTACCCTGCAGCGTAATTTTAGCACCTACTGGCTCAAGAACATGATTTTAAATCGCATCGTATCCCTTTAAAGAAGCTAGGTTTGGCGGACCCAGTTGACATAAATTTCTTACAGTGTAACACAGAATCTAGTCATCATCCTGTCTTTTAGTATAATGGTCATTACTCGGCACTAATGGTTGAGCTTTGTGCACACCGCTCTTCCTGCAACAGCTCCTCTTGGAAAGGTGGAGGGATTTCTGCAGCTCTGCACTGATTCCACCGTTACACAGTAACACAATCCAGACCTTCTGGTAAATGTAACCTACTAGAAAAATTGAACCTGATGCTAACCGCCAATGAAATTATGACCTCTGATTGCTGCTGCGCCACACACCAACACAGCCCCGCGGCTAGCCAGCCAGCCGGCCGGCCGGCCAGCAGAACAGCACAGGATGAGGCAGACCAGGGGGAAAAAAATCTGTTATTAGTTTTCCATGCATAGGAGGGCTGAAGTGCCTACCGACCCCCTTCCTCCTCTTTCTCCGACCCATCAGCCAGCTCTACATGGGAAAGCCTTGCTTCGGCATTTAGATCAACACTTTTCATATTTAAAAGGGGAAATATGCTCTTTCTGTGAGAATGTGCTTTTAAAACAAATCAGATTCATGACATTTTAATTTGAAGATGTTTTCCTTTGAATTTATCAGGAAACCTGCAGGCTTTGAACAGGTAAAGGGAGCCAACAACACCAATCTCACCTGTTTAACGTTAAGTGAGAAATAAGAATTTCACGCAGAAACTGAAACTTGAGGGGGACAATTCCTCTGGCTTCGAGTACAAAAAATCCGCTCCAACTTTTCGAGCTTTTTAATTAAGTTTCATCCGGTTGTTAAGACACCCAAACACAGAAAGGACTTCCTTGTTTTAAGTCAATCTAAGTGAGGCCAAATGCTGACGTTATTACATTCCTGTCTAATGCTGGAGCAAGGAAAGGGTAAGGGCTTTGGACCGTAAACCTTTTTTATTTTACTGGTTCCCCTCTGAACAAATTTTTCATCTCCCTGGATTTGTGGCACGAGGGGAGGGAAGAGAGCGACGTGAGGAGAAACTCAAACCAGCTGTTCTTTAACAGAATTAAAATCTTGACCCCCCCAACCCCGGCTCTAATGCAGCCATTCTCTAGCCAAGCCTCTCCCAGCAAGCCCCGAGATCCAAAGAGGAAAAGACTTTGACCTCGCGACCCCTCTCCCCTCCTCTCCTCTAGCTCCAGCACCCTGATAAGGGGGTGGAAGGCTAGGGAGGTGGAAACAGAGGAGAGCGACAGGGTAAAAGTGGCCGCACATGGAGCAAGCTCTGAGCTCCAGAAGACGAACGGCCAACTGATGTGGTGTACGTCTCTGGTGCCCTGAGATGTTTCCACACTAGCTTGATTTGTCCCATTTGAGGATCTGGTGCCAACAATTGTGTGGCTAATCTATAATAATCCACACATGTTCTGCAGAACGACTCGTACGAAGGTGCTCTTAATTCCTTAAGCAGCAGAGGCATGTCTGTTTGTGCAGGAAAACAAAAACAGCACCTTTGGGTTAAGCCTCCTTTCAACAGACTGGAATGCCTCCATTATCCAGTAATTACCTGCTGATGAATCAGACACAACCTGCCAACAATCAGCCCTCGCCACCTCTTTCACTGCACCGGTACCGCACCGTTCAGTCCCACCGGTTTGGTAAAACATCCTAAATAGCACGCTGCCTGCTGGAACCGGGCTGACAACCGTGTTCGTCCTCCCCGTGTAATTTGTTTCTTTCAGAAGGTGACAGCCAGCATGAATCAGAACAGATATTTGAGAACAATGTTGTTCAGTGTGCTAATTATAGACCTGCTTAAGTTCGTGATGCTGAAAAACCCCAAAACGCACACGCACACACACACACACACACACACACACACACACACACACACACATGCACGCGCGCACACACACACCTCAGTAATTAGGCCTGACTATGAAGGATTTTTTATCGCCCCAAAGCTAATAAACACATCAAACCTCAATAAATGTAAAGCACTCAAGATTCCACGTGCCAAGAGAAGCTGTTAGAATCTGTTCTCTTCTACTTTACGTTCCTGCTTGTGTCTCGTGACAAAGTCGAACGAAACAGCGGAATATCCATGAAATAAGCGCGTCCATTTGAGTGTTTATGAAATAAAAATGGAGTTTCTAAAAGGACGGGGGTGTTTCTAATTCCAACTGAGGTTGGTATGAACACTGTGGGTGATGTCGCTCAGTAACCCTTTCACATTCTCATTATAGGCCACTTCTGAGAGCCTCGTAAACACAGCAGAGCCGTGAGAGAATGGAAAGAATAAATATCAGGTCGTGAAATTTACTGTTCAGACAAATAAACACCCAGTGAAGGAAATCCAGGTGAAATACGCGGTGAAACGCTACGATATTTGGTCAAATTCATAAGAAGGCTTTTGGGAAGCTGACAGGACTAAATGATGGTGACACACTGAAGCCTCAGAGTTTCTCAGAACCTTTTGAACATCACTTTTCCACTAAATTCCCCCGTTCTCCCCTCACCAAGCAAACAGAGGTTCCTCTGAAACCTACAATCATGCTAACTCACACCAGATGTTCCTACTGTACTAAAGAGTGAAGACCCTCCATCAGAAGTCACTGCTATTACTCCACGAGAAAGCACTATGCTTTTCTGCTAATTTAATCGGCGACATTTTTCTCTTTAATCTGAGCGGAGTTCTTATCGGTACAGGAAAGAGGAAGACGCGTCCATCTGCTGAAAACCTTTCACTGGGGAGGTTGTCAGAGCCCTCTTTGTTCTCCTGGCGTCTGTCACTGATGTCAGT